TGTTTGTGGCAGCACAATTCACAATTGCAAAGATGTGGAATAAACTCAAGTGCCCATCAACACGAGTGGATTAATAAAATGTATTATATGTATACCATGGAGTACTGCTCAGCCATAAAAAAATGGTGAACTACCTCCTGTATTATCTTGGATGGAGCTGGAGCCCATTCTTCTAAGTGAAGTATCACAAGAATGGAAAAACCAGCACCACATGTACCATTAATATCATTAAATTGGTACTAATCGATCAACGCATATATGCACATATGGAAATAACATTCGTGAGGTGTAAGGTGTTGGGCAGGTAGGAAGAAGGGGATGTGTAAATTCACACCTAATGGGTAGGGAACTGTCTGGGAGATGGGCATGCTTGTAGCTCTGACTCAGGTCATGCGAAGGCAATGTATGTAACCAAAGTGTTTGTACCCCCGTAATACTTTGAAATGAAAAAATAAAGGACACCTACAGAAAACATTTGCCCATAATTCATCTGACAGGGGACTAATACTCAGAGACATACTCAACAGACATGCATGTACAAAAGGCTCATAGCAGCATTATTATAATAGCAAAAACAAAACTGGAAACAAGCCAAAGGTTCATCAGTAATAGGATGAGTGAGAAAACCATGGTATAGTCATATAATGAAATACTATACAGCCATGAAAATGATCAGCTACAAGTAGTAACAGAGATAAATCTCATAGGATGTTGAGCAAAATAAGCCAGACACAGGAGTACATACCATAGGATTCCATTTATATACAGGTGAATGATAGAAGTCAGAATAGTGGTTAGATTTGTAGTAGAGGGAGGAGACAATGAATGGGACAGAACAAGTGATAGATACAAGATTATGTTCATTTAACAATGAGTCATTGAGAGGTACATTTATAATTTTGTGCACTTTTCTGTATACATGTTGCACTTAAATAAAAAAGATTAGTTTATAAAGACAGTGGTCTGGCTTTCCCTAGACTGATTTTTAGAAAGATGGATTCCCTTCAAAATGATGCTGCAGCCTGGGCTTCTCTGAGTCCACTCTCTGTTCCGGGCCCAGCTATTTCACCATTCACCCTTTGTTTGAGGGGAAGTGCAATGAGGAAGGGAAGAGTAAAAACAACTCTAGCCTTCCTAGAGCTTGCCTGGATCCCAGCCAAAGCAGCTGCAATTAGAGACCCCTCCCTGAGAAGTGAAAGTCTCTACACATCTATGCAAACAGTCGCAATCCTCAGAGCTAATTTGTGAGATGCCCCAGCCCTTTTCTTGTCTGGCATGTCTCACTCCAGGCTCCAAAGCCTCTGGGGATTCACAGGCTCCAGCATGGCCTTTGCGATTCCTAGGAATGGACAACCAAAACCGGAATTTAGGGTCCAAAATGAATTTTAGGGCCCAGGCCTATTCCTGTGATCTGGGCTTTATTGTTTTTGTTTTTTGGTTTTTGTGAAACAGGGTCTCACTCTATCACCCAGGCTTAAGTGCAGTGATACAACCATAGCTCACTGCAATCTTGAAGTCCTAGGCTCAAGCAATCCTCCCACCTCAGCCTCCTGAGTAGCTGGAACTACAGGTGTGTGCCACCACACCTGGCTGATTTTTTTATTCTTCGTAGAGACGGGGTATGGCTATGTTTCCCAGGCTGGTCTCAACTTCCTGGGTTCAAGCAATCTTCCTGCCTTGGCCTTCCAAAGGGCTGGAATTACAGGTGTGAGCCACCACACCTCGCCCGCATGGACAGTGATTTGAAAGTCCCCACTCCCTATTATATCTGACCCAAAATCGTCCCAGACTGCCCCTGTGATACCTGAATAAAATTCACTTATTCACTCAACAAACATATGTGAACATCCTACTGTGTTAGGCACTGTGCTGGGCACTCATCACAACTGTAAATACATACTGATTCAGAAGACCGTAGGCTCGTGAACAAAGGGGCCCTGGACTTATGCACCACTGAATCCTTAATACCTAGCCAAGTGCCTGGTGCAGAGCTGTTCAAATCATATCCAGGGAAGGAATGAGAATAGAGGGAGGGATGTTGTTGTGAAAATAAATATTTTCGGAGGGTCTTCTGGTGCCAGGTACTGCTCTAGATGCTGAGGATACCATGGTGACAAAACAGACAAAAGACTCAAGGAATTTACACTCTCATAGGCTGAAGAGGAGACTGGGAGACAGAAAATAAAATAAGTAAACGGGATAGAACGTAAAATGGAGATAAGGACAATGAAGAAAAATTAAGCGGAGAGAGATAAGGGGTTGCGGGATGGTGGGACAGTCTCAGGGGGGAAGGCATCACTGGGAAGGTGGTATTTGAGCCAAACCCTGAGGGCGTGAGAGAGCAAGCCACATGGCCAGGAAAGGAGCAGCATTCCAGGAAGAGAACACTGGAGGTGCAAAGCCCTCACAGGAAGCGTGCTCGAGGACCAGCACCAGCGTGGCTGAAGCGCTGTGAGCAAGAGGAGAGATGAAGAAGAGGAAGTCCCAGAGACCAGGTCACTTAGGCCATTGTAAAATGCATGACTTTTACTTTGCCTAAAAGGGGAAAGCATTGGAAGATTTTTGCAAAACTCAAGAGTGTTGTGTGCATCTTACATAAATACTAATAGTATGCATGACCAGGCACGGTGGCTCACGCCTGTAATCCTAGCACTCTTGAGAGGCCAAGGCAGGAGGATCACTTCAGGCCTGGTGTTTGAGACCACCCTGGGTAACATAGCAGTACCCCATCTCTACAAACAACTTAAAAATTAGAATGGCATGGCGGCACCTGCCCGTAGTCCCAGCTATTCAGAAGGCTGACACAGGAGGATCATTTGAGCCCAGGAGTTCAAGGTTGCAGTGAGCTGTGGTCATGCCACCGCACTCCATCTTGGATGACAGAGCAAGACCCTTTCTCAAAACAAACAAAACAAAACAAAAAGTAGTATCCATATTAAACTTTTCAGTAAACAAAGTTTTTAAAAATAATTCATTCTCATCATATGTCTCCCAATGAGATGCAGTGAGAAAGGCAGAGCATCACTTCTGTGATATTCCTGCCCCAAATGCACGTGATAACCTGACTCATAAAGGAAGCAACAGACAAGCCCAGATTAAGGAACCTTCCACAAAGCTGCTGGCTTATACTCTTCAAAAATGCAGTGTCATGAAAGATGGAGAAAGATTAAAACATATCGTTGCAAATTGAAGATGATTGGAGAAACATAACCGAATGTCATACGTGATCCTGATTGGATCCCGGATCATGAAAAAAAAATGCCATAAAGCACATTATTGGGAAAGTTGGTAATATTTGAATATGTACTGCATATTTGATTGTATTAGCGTTAAATTTACTAAATTTCAAGATTGAACTATAACGATGTGAGAATGTCCTTGCTTATAGGAAATAAGTGCTAAAATATTTAGCAGTAAAGGGGCATGATGTCTGCAACTTATTCTTAAATGGTCTAGCAAAAATAATTATGATTATAAATTTAGACATATACACATATATGTGGAAAGAAAAAAATAAAGCAAATGTGATAAAATGTTAACTGGTAACTCAAGGTGAAGGAAATACAAGAGTTCTCTGTACTATTCTTGCAACTTCTCTGGAACTCTGCAATGATTTCAAACTAAGAAGTTTAAAAGTTAAAAGAAAGAAACAGAGAAGCTGCAGTCAGCCTGCGCCAGTGCAGCCCCACCGACACAGGACATGGCAAGGCAAGGGAGAAGCTCAGGAAGACCAAAGTCCATCCCTCCCTGTGCCCAAGGAGTCACTCACCAGCTTCCCCCTGCAATGGGCTGCAGGGCCAGCCAGACATGGAGCTGAAGCCCTGGGTGTGAGGGTGGAGGGAGCGGCGTCCTCTGTCACACAGGCGCATAACCTCAGGGTCAGCCTCTGCCTCTGTCACTCTCATCCCCAAAGCCAGGCACCAAATCCCATCAGGCCTCCTTCAGGTTTCTGAGCTGCTTCCCAGGCTAATTGGACCAGGTTCCACCCTAGCTCTCTTGCCTAGAATCCTGTGCCCCTGGGTCCCACCAGAGCTCCCTTGCTGCTCCCTTCTCTTCGTGCTCTACCCTAGGCTGCCTGCCTCATTGCCAAGGTTCAGTCCACCTGAGCCTTGACTGGGTCTTCCTGGCAGACACAGAATGCTTAAACTGAGTACCCGGGCATGGGACTTTATTCCATATCGGACTTCTACTCAGCCTTGCACCAACAGTACCCTGTGCCTCAGTTTCCTCCCTTGGTGCCCAGAGTGTGCCCTCCTCTCACTCCACCCCCACCCACGAAGCCCCTCGCAGAGTTGCTGATCTAAAATGCACGATCTGTGTCTCAGAGCATCTTGGACTCCAGGGTTGGAGGAAAAGGGGAGTGGCCTTCAGCTGGGATGTCCCAGAGTAAGCCTTAGATGGCTGTGCCCAGCTGACGGCTTTAGGTTTGCTGTGGAGCCTCCTCTTACTGTCTCCTCCTCCTGCCCAAAACCAATATTTCCCTAATCGTTCCCAGGCCCTGTGCCCTTGGGCTGCTGGAGGAGCCGAGGAGATGAAAGACCGGGCTCTGTCTGGCCGCTGGCCCCACCCCACCTCCCAGCTTTCCTGCCTCAGGGATCCATCTGCCCGTCTCTGAGCTCCAGAACCACCCAGCTGCCTTGGGGTAGCTTCTCCTCTCGCTCCCCAGTTAGAGGATGAGGTTTCCTTTGCCCTTAAAGGCAGCTGGAAGGAGGCTTTTCTCCCCACTACACAGAAAGGAAAATTGAAGCCAGTGGGAAAGAATCTCCTCGCCCAAGCCTGCCTGGATTACTGCTGGCAGGGCCAGATGCGCCTCTCAAGGACCTGCTGACCCCCTGCCAGCCTGTCCTGTCTGACTTAGAGTGTCAGAGCTCTCAGGAGCCCCTTGGAGTCCTAGGCCCAGGTGACCGCGTAAGTGGCACTGCCGGAGGCTCCGGGCTCTGACCTTCCTGAGGGCACTGCCCTTAGTCCACAGGCTCACAACCCCCGCTGGCCCTCCTTACCTTGGCCCTGAGGCACCTTGAGGAGCAGGAGCAATGTGAGGGTGACAGCTTGCCCCAGCATCCCCAGAGGACAGAGAGGTCAGGCCAGGCCCTCTGCCCCACCGGACGCTCTGCCGAGCACAGCAGCTGTTAGTTAGGCAGCAAGAGGACGGTGGGAAGCACAGCGCCCTCACCGCCTGTCTGGCCACAGCTTCCTCAGTTCAAGGCTGTTAATGTGTGCTGAGAGCTGACAGGCTGCTGAGAAAGCCCCAGCCCCTGGACCTGGTCTGAGAGTTGCCACAAGATAAACTTGTGAAGTTGGCAAGTGGGTGGGTGCTCAGTGTTCTCAGGGACTCACAAAACCAGCTTCAAAATTGTATCCCTGGCCAGGCGCAGTGGCTCACGCCTGTAATCCTAGCTCTCTGGGAGGCCGAGGCGGGCGGATTGTTTGAGCTCAGGAGTTCGAAACCAGCCTGAGCAAGAGCGAGACCCCGTCTCTACTAAAATTAGAAAGAAATTAATTGGACAACTAAAAATATATAGAAAAAATGAGCCGGGCATGGTGGTGCATGCCTGTAGTCCCAGCTACTCGGGAGGCTGAGGCAGGAGGATCGCTTGAGCCCAGGAGTTTGAGGTTGCTGTGAGCTAGGCTGATGCCACGGCACTCTAGCCCGTGCAACACAGTGAGATTCTGTCTCAAAAAAAAAAAAAAAAAATTGTATCGCTTTCTCTGCCCCAGCCTGGCTGCTTCATTCAAAGGGCAGATGCCCCAGCAATTTTCCAATTCTCTTCATCCTACTGGCGGTACACAGAGCTCTACATGAGGACGAAACAGCCATTATCCCAGACTGGCCCATCACACAGAATTGTTGAGGGGAAGAGGGAGATGCGGAGGGCCTAGGATAGGGAGCTGAGACGCAGAACCCCAGATAAGAGGGTGATAATGTTGAAGAACAGGATGAGTAGCTGGGGTGACACAGGAAGAGACCCGAGAGGTTGGGGACACTAGGAAAATCTAACAGGCCTGGGGATTCTATGGAAGTGGATACCAAAATTTAAACATAAGCCAATCAAATTTTTTTCATTAGAATTTGGTTTTCTCCAAGTGTCAGGTCTGTACTTCTATATTCCTGTTGTACATCTTTTTCTACTTTCCCATAATAGTTCTCTCTGCCCTCTCTTGCCTTCTCCCAGAAAGGGGATGGGCCCATTTTTGCTGCCCTTCCCATCCGCACTTGGATTCCACCCTCCAGAAAGGGCCGGGCAGCTTTGGATGGCCTCAGGCCTCTGTGGAGGGGTGGGGGCAGCGACATCCAACTTCCCTGGACACTGGAAGATGGGGATCTAAAATGTAAGATCCAGGTCTCAGAGCATCCTGGACTCCAGGGTTGGAGGAAGAAGGGAGCAGCTCTCAGCTGGGAATTCCCCGAGTAAGCTTAGATGGCTGTGCCCCAGGGTTCATGCCCCTTTCTTCCGCTTTCACCTTAGCAGCAAATACTTTTGGTTCACTTCCGGTCCGCCCTTCTTCCCTTTTCCATCCTTCCATCCATTTCCAGTCACCCTGTCTCAACTCGGCAGCAGGAGGTAGACTGAGAGGGTCAGCTGCCAATAGAGGCAGCAGTGGGGTTCTGGGCAGAGCACTGGATTTGGAGCCAAAGACTTGAACTTGAACGCTCAGCACCTGCTGATCTGTGTGATCCTGGCCAAGTTACTTCCTGAGCCTGCAGAGTCAACAATATTTGCCCCTCTCTCTCACAAGGTAGTTTTCGAGATCAAATTAAAAAAACATACCTGAGAGTATGCATGTAAAAAACTCTAGACCTAGCTGAGGCTTTCGTGTTTTTGTTTTTTAAGCCCTGCATAGCTTTTTCCAGCTGGTCTAATGATATCATCTCTTCTCTCCTTTGTCTTTTCCCAAGGTGTAGCCTTCAACCCCTGGGAGTTTCCTTGGAGTTCATCTGGCCATGCCCTTGACCTTGAGAAGTGGTGTTCAAGACGTGGTAAAACAAGGAAGTGTAAACTTTCCTCACATAATGGATGGAACACAAGCTCTAACTGTGGGGAGCAACTAATGAACCACATGAATTAGGAATCGGCTTCACCAATCCTGAGTCCAACACCAGCTTCATCCTCCCCACCAGGCACGTGGGTGGCCCACCAGCCCCCGGAAACTGAGCTAGGAGTCGCCAAACCACTTTGTATGTGTCTGTCTTGTGGTCTTTAACAAACTCTACTACATCATAACTGCTGTTTGCTCTACACACTGCCCTCCCCCGCCCTGAGCTTTTCAACATAAAGTCTGTGTTCTCCTTAGCTTAGTGTTTCCAGAGCCTGGCCCAGTGCTTGGTACTTCACAGATGATTAATAGATTGTCAGGTGCTGAAGGAATGAATGAATTCCCCAGAGAAGATATTTCTATTCCCTTTGAGATGCAGTGATAAGCTAAGTCACCATGTTCCCCGCCCTCATGGAGTTTATACCTTGCCTTCCCAAGTCTGTGTGCAGAGAGCCCTCCTGTGCAATTCAGCTACTTTAACATGAAGACTCAAGACCCTACAAAGTCCACATAAACTCAGAGATGCCTGTAGCCCCATTTCCCATACATATTGCCCAAGTCTCTAAAAGTCTGGGACAGGAGACTCAGATGGGGCATTTAAATGTCAGCAGCCATCTAGGACTCCAAGTTTCATCAATCTCTGCCCTCTCATCCTTCCTTTTCCCAAACCATGCTTTCGCCATGCTTCAGTGAGTCAACTTCATTCTAGTAAATCCCACTTCTGATGCCAACTGCAAAGTTCATAAGTCCCCTTCGAATTTAATAATTCACTAGAAAGACTCACAGAACTCATTGAAACCTGTTTTACACATGGTGAAACTTTATTACAGCAAAACAATACAGAAGAAAACCAACCAAGGAAAGAGGTACCTAACTCAGGGTCCGGGAGTGTCCCAAACACGGAGCAGGTATTGAGCTTCCAGTTCTCCTCTCCCAGTGGAGTTGTGCAGACAGTGCTTGCTTCTCCCAGGAATTGTGTGTGACAATACAGACCGAGTACTGCCAACCAGGAAACCTTCCAAGTTTTGGCATCCAGTGTTCTTACTAGGGCTTCGTCATATAGGCATGGCTAACCTCAGTCTCTGATCCTTCCAGAAGTTGAACTGGTGCTCTGTGGCCAAAAATTCCCACCAAAGATCACATTGTTGGCACAGACTATCCTGCATGGCCCAAGGTCCTCTGTAGATGAAGACACTGGGGACATCCCAAGCAGGACATTCAAAGCCTTAGAGATTACCTCCCAAGAACCAAGAGCAAAGGCCAGCCTTCTCTTTAGGCAAGGTTAATCCTTTACTGCATAGTCAGAAAGATGAAGATGTAAAAGTAGTCAAAGATAAACCCTTCAAATAGGGCCCAACAGATATGACCAACCAATCTTTACAGATATGGCCAACCAATCTTTCAAGAACTCAATAAATAATTTCTGTGATACTAGACACTAAATAAGAGCTCGTTGCCTTTATTTCTAAGCATCTGAATATTGTCTGTGTTCCTGTTTCAATGAAACCATAACTAAACTCTTAACAAGCACAACCATTCTTTTTCTATCTCTGTTTCTCAGAAGGACTGGAAAATTGCTTCCCTTCTATGTATATTTATCTCTCTTGGGCTTTGACTTGTGGGAAGAGAATTAGCCAGTTATTTTTTTACATACTGGCTGAGGTAACTTAGAAGTTCAAGTTAAAGGTGAGGGATGCAATATTCCCATGAAGAAGATGGAAGGTGGACCCTCTTAAAACAATACCTGGGATATCAAATAACCTAATAGACCTGCATCTAAGTCAAGGTCCCAGGAGCAGCAGCCAAAGAGTGCAATCCACATTGTAGCTCATCTCAGAATTTCAACATGGGAAGAAACTTGTTTTTCCAGCTTCAAGGTGAAGAAACAACCCTGATGACGCAGAGAATTGGAGGCCATCTCCCTGACGGTAGCAATACGATGCAGGAAATAGGACCAATCTCTGCTCTTTTATGTTGGAAACAAGATGTTTCTACAGGGATGGGTGAAAACTTACCTAATGGGTACAATGAACACTATCTGGGTGATGGGCACGCTTGCAACCCTGCCTCAAGCAAAAGAACGTCGATACGTGTAACCAAAAACATTTGTACCCACATAATATGTTGAAATTAAAAAAAAAAAAAATTCTGAAAACTAAAAGAAAAAAGGATGTTTCTATACAAAATGTGAATGAAAAAGTTTTCCCAAACTGCAAGGGAAATTCACAAATGAATTGCCTTATGCAATTTAAAGATAATTAAATATAAATTTTGTTTTGTACAGTTGTATCTTTTATTATATTCTGTAAATCAGAATCTGATCTGGTATCAAATTTTTATATTTTATTTTAGTATCAGATTTTTATGTTTGACTTTCTAGAGTATCAAATTGTTTTGCAAAAATAAAACCAAAGAAGGAAAACATAATGCCCTCTAACTGCCCTGCCGCCTAGTTTGTGAATTTTACCTAGTTTGTGAATTATAAATATAGAAGATCAAAATTGATGTTCTAATGATATGGTAATTTGCACAAGCCAATGTTCCCTATAATATTTTAAGTTGTGCTACATGGATACCTCTAAAAACAAATGCATGTGATCAAAGTTTAGTAGTGTAATCAGATAAATTTGCATCCGCATTAAGTTGTCATTTTAATGATAACACACATTCGTGATTAACCATAAATGAAATTGTTTTGACATGGCAAAACTTCATTCTGGAGGATATTATCCTATTTCAGGTTGCTGTTTATCTGTCATGCAGAATTCTTATCTTTGCTGACAGGTCTCCCTGGCTCTATGTGCCGTTGAATTTACCACAAAGGTTCACGTGCCCACACACCCACGCATGAGACCACAGAAGATGACGAGCCTAGATCTGACTTCCTGTTCCTCTAAGAGTTCCCCTTCTTCTTTCCCCATCTCTGGCCCTCTCCCACCTCCCTGTACGACTTTCATGTGAAGTTCTCTGAGTTTTTCTGATATACCCTTTCTGTCTAGTTGCCTCTGATAGTGTCCCTTAACACACCTCTGTGCTTTCTTCTTGTGAGGACCTAGCCGTG